AAGGATTTAAAGGAGCCTTGGGCAGTGGCTGCGTCTCTAAGCCCTAAACAGAAGGTGGCAAGGTGGCTCTTGTGGGGGATTATCTTACTGTTTTAAGGAAAGAGGCTAGGTAGGATGGGTGCCTAGACTGTGGGTCCTGAGCACCCATGGGCAAACATATACTCTCATCGAAACACACCTTCATCAAACAGGGTTCACTGATCAGAAAGCGGCAGAGGCCCCTCTTTGTCAGCAATGATTGCTGTTTGTGCATGACCCAGAGGGTTCCTTCCTCTGAGGGGAAGCTCACAGGGGCTTTTACAAGCAAGACCTATCTATCCCTGGGAACAGGTGAAGGCTTCCTTTCTCCTCAGCTCCCCACCCCCAACTGCAGGCTGACAGGTGGGGGAGAAGAGTAGAAACAGCTGGCCAGGACACCTGTTTTCCACTCCATGCCTGGCCAAGGGCCTGCTTGGGGACCACACGGGGAGTCTGCCAAGAGGCAGGCAGGTGTGAGGGCAAAAAGAGAGGGGTCCAGATGTCAAGGGGAGACAGAGCAAGAAGAACCACCCTCACCATGGTACACCTAGAGGACAGCAGCCAGTCCCAAGGGGCCTCCAGCCCCTACATCATATTTCATCTAATGGAAAAGGAAGAATCTAGAAAAGAGACCTATTCCCCCACTCCACGGACCCTCATGTCTTAGTCTTTATTCTCCCAGTCTTCAAACCCAGCCTGGGGGGAGGAGGACATCAGTAGCAAAGACTAGCAAAGAACCTAGGCCGTCTGCTGGGTAGGTCTTGAGGCTGGGAGGCACCTGGCATGGCAGGGGAAGGAGATCTCGTTTCTCATGCCACCCCAGGGTCTGGTCTTCAAAGCCTTCTCAAGCCCTTATCCCTACACCTCAGGTCTTGGCTGAGGGTCCTGAGGGAGGGTGCAGCTGTGACACCTACCTGCCTTTGAACCTTCTTCCTCTAGGAAAGGCAGGGCCAGGGGAGGAAGATAAGGCTGCCCAGTCCCTGTGCTACCTTCAATCCCTTTCCTGTCTCCTTCAAGCAGAGTTCCAGGGGTCTCTGTGTACTGCTGGCTCCTGCTCTAGTCCTTGTTTTGGGGCTTTTTGCATTGGTGGGGAAATCTGAAGGAATTACTGTCTCCGGAGTCAGAGCAATACACCCCCAAAGTGCCACCAAACCCTCCGAGACCTCTGAGTGCTGCACTGTGGTCAAGAGTGGCCTGGACCCTCCCTCCTGCAGAGAGATGCCTTCTTAGACAAGAGCCCTGAACCCCTCACAGTGGGCTTCACTGAATAAATCCTTAGTCCTTCAGTTTCCCCAATACCAATGACCAGTTGCGGACAGATTTCTGACCAGCTTAGGACTCTTCACAGACAACATCAGTTCTGGGGATCTCAAAAGTCTTCATTTTTGACTCTGAACCATGCACCTTGTTAAACTGGGTGTGAATGGGTGATGCTGGAGGGGAGAGCTAGGGACAGGCAGGACACGCCTTCCCTGTGGCGTGTTGTCTGCCGAGTGCTAGGGGAGAGGCCCCAGAACAGCCGGGGGCACCACGCCAAGGTCAGTGACCAAGCCTAGAGCTCAGGGCCTCCTGGGAGGCTAAGTTTAAATGAGTAAATATGGTCCCGCCTGGGTGTGGTTTGCCACAGGCCAAAGCTTGGGGCAGGCCACTCCCTCCAGTACCCTACACAGAAGGGGCTGTCAGCCACAGTCAGCCCCCTCAATCCACGCCACACCAGCAGTCCTGCCTAGTTCTGCCACTGGCAACCGGAGCGGGGCTGGCACGAGGGCTGAGCCGACACAAAGGAAAGGTGGGCATGGAAAGCCGTGGGGGCCTCCTGAACCAAGAATGTGCCCCCAAATGCAGCAGAGCAGCCTCACTCATGGAAGTCGGGTACAAAGCTCCAACAGCAGGGACCAAACACACAGGTCACCTAAAGGGAGACTCCTGCACACCTGGAAAGCTGAGGAGGGAGGGGGCAACTTACCCAAGGCCAGGGTGGGGGACAGTGGCTAGCCAGGGATCAGAGCCGCAAGGGAGGGTGGAAGTCAGCCAGTGCTCCCTGACTCACAAAGCATGCTCTCCACAGACAGGCCCTGCCTGCCCATCTGTGCTCTGACCTCAACCCTTGCTCCAGCACAGGCTTTCTGGGTCTGTGCGCCTGCCTTTCCCTTCCTGCCTCTAGTCCCTCACCACCCCCCACTCTCCAATCCTTTAATCATCTTTACCACTGCTGCCCCCACCCCCGCAGAGCAACAGCTGCTCTGTGGGTGTCACACCCCTAAGGGTGCGCTGTACACCTTCCCGCATGTGTCCCATGACCTGCTGCAGACTGCCAGGTGCAGCTGGGGCTGCAGGACCCCGCCAGCTTGCTTTCTGGGGAAAGGGGCTTAGAGGTGAGTCTTCCCACAGCTCCAGGACAACACCTCAGAATATGTTTTGTCCTAGGAAGGGAGAGATGAGAAAATATTCCAGGAGCCAAACAGCACCAGCCCCACTAGGCCAAAGGTCAAAGCCTTTTTAGCAGAGTCACTGGAGAATGCTTGAGATTTCCCCCTCGCTTCTCTGGGAAGTTCCTTCTGATATCCAGGCTCCATCCAGCTTTCCTAACTGTGTAGAGGGCACTGTCAGCCACAGCACAGCCAGATGTCCGCTTCTATAGCACGGCTCCTAGCTAATGCTACCTCTCCCCCAAGAGTAAGTCACCAAACTGGGACAGAAGGATAGAGAGGGTTGGATGGACTCTGGCCCCATGACTACCTCATAAAAGCCACCAGTGATTACAGCGATGCGGAGGCTGGACCGCATGCGACCATTCCTCCTTCCCGCTTCCCTGTAAAGGGAGATAATTTTCTCAGGCCAGTTGGCTTCAGAGAGTCTACAAAGTCCCAGCCATGGCCCCAAAGGGGTGGCAAGAGCCCGCCACCACAGAGCTGCTCTGACCCTTGCCAGTGGGCTCTGGGCTTGCCTTAGATCTCCCCCCTTAAGAACCTGGATAGCGCCAACTGTATTTGTGACACAAAGTGTCCTCCTTGCCGGCAGCTCCTCTGTAGGCCATACTGTCTGCGCAGGGGGGCAGAGAAGTGGAAGCAACAGAGAAAAGCCAGCCTACCCACTCAACTCCAGTGTGTGGCAAAATGTCCAACAAGGACCAATGTCAGGCCAGGGCCATCCATGGAGGGCAGGAGCTCAGCTGGCAAGGAAGACAAAGCTGGGAAGGTGGGCAGAGGTCCAGGCCAAGGACAGAAGAGCCAAGGATGCTGCAGCAGAGGCCCCTTTCCAGAGCAGGGTCAGATGGGGCCTCAGTGAGCTTAATCCCATCCCCTGGTCTAGCTCCCAACCTGGGGAGATTTCCTCCGCCTTTCCCATCATACTAACCCAGGAAGACAGGGAGAAGAAAGAAAAAAGCCTACTGGAGACAGATTATATAACAGCAACCAGCCAGGCTGTCACATCGCCCAGCCTATGAGCACTAAGAAGTCAGAGGGCCAGAGGAGAAAGCTGGGTCCTCCAGCCCTGGTCCCACACAGAGGGGACAGGCAGCCTGTACCTGCCTCCTGCCCAAGTCCCCCACACCCTGTTCCAGGCACAAGCCCTGTGCCCATCCCCCAACACAAAGCTTCCCATACTTTCTGGCTGGGTCCTGATGCCTGCAAGAACAAGGCTTGTATATCTTCATTCCTAACCTTAAGAGTCTCTCCCTGCATGAAATCTGTGGAAGAGGGGAAACCAAACACTGATACAGACTGGCTGTGTGATCTCTGGTAAAATGTTTGTCCACTCTGGTAGGTATATACGGGAATGCCTTCCAAGTGAATCTTCTTACAAAAGTACACGCAGCAAGCACACACAGGGTTTGTGTGAAGGGCACAGGAGTCATAATAAAGAATATGACTACTGAGATCCCAAGGTCCCAGCGTCCATTTCTGGAGTACATGGGAAAACTCTACAGAAGCTCCAGTATTCCCCAACCACTCCACATAATAAGGTTCTCAGCCACTCCCACAACCATCCCACCCCACCCCCATCCTGGAAGACGCAGGAAGGAAATTCATTCACAGGCAAGACCATGAGAGCTGGGACGGCCAGGCTGAGCACTGGGGCTTGGTGGCCAGTGGCCAGAAGCTGGGTGTCTGGGAACACTGACAGGTACCTCGCCAATACTCCCCTTCGCGGACACCTCCGCTAGAGCTGGGAGGGGAACAGAAGGTGGACAGCTCCCAAGGCCTAGCGCACTCAGTAGGCTCCCCTCCCCGAGCCGGCCAGAGCAGCCCAAGGTCACCGTCCCAGGCGGCAAACTTCCCACAGTCAAGACAGCTCAGGCCCACTGAGGGTTAGGGGGAGGGAGAAGATCCGCCATTCACTCAGCCAAAGCAGCTAGGCCTCGGAGGGAAACTCACACGGCGAGGGCAGGGTACCGGATCCACCCCACTGTACTCCCCTGGCCTGGCCCTAATGCGCCGGTCAGTCGTTGGCAGAGCTGGCACTCGGGACAACCTGGATAGTCCACGGCCACTGGGAACCCCAAGGGCTCGGCGGAATCTCTAGGAGGCCTTGCTGCTCCATCTCCACCATGGAAAGCCAGGAGCACCCTAGTCCCTTGGGCCAGCCTCACCACTCGAACCCTACTCGCACCGGCTCGGCCAGCACCGACCAAGGGAGGCCCCGGAGGGAGAGGTCCTGCCAGATGTGAACAGCTGCAAACTCCTGGCTAGGGGTGCTCCAGCTGGCATCGCTGACACACCCGACCCGGGGGCCCCACGGGTGCGAGATCGCGGCCGGAGCCACGTGCGTTGCGCCCGCCAGAGCGCGAGGCGGCGGGGGCTCGGGTGCCAGGCGCGTCTGTCACAGCAGACACCCCAGCACCGCCGCCGCCGCCCCGCCCGGCCCGGGACTCTCGCGCCTGGGCGCCCTGGCACCCCTCGCGCTCCAGACCACCCTGCGCCCTGCCGCGCGGCGTGGGGGAGGGGCTCTTAAAGGGACCGGCGCGCGTCGCGACTCACCAGCCCGCGGGGGAACGGGGTTGTCACGGCGCCGGGAGCCTCGGCCCGGCCCGCGGTATCCTCGGCTTGGCGAAGCAGCAGCTCCGGCGGGGAACAGCGGAGGCGCCGCGTCCACGCGGCCTGGGCGGCGCCGCAGGATCCGGACCCCCTGGTGTGCGCGGGGGCGGCGGCGGCGGGCGGCGGGGACGCGGCTGAGCGCCCAAGCCGCCTCGACGGTTGTTGATATTTTGCTTCCTTCCTCCTTTCGGGCTCCAAAGGCAACTCCTCCAGCCCCAGACTCGAGGCCGACGTAGGCACCGCGCACCCTAGCTTGCGGGATGGGGTGGAGGGGGAGGGGAAGAGGAGGGTGATGGACAAGCGGGGGGCCAATGGGAGGGCCTTGTAGGGAGGGGTGGGGCCTTGCGGGGCGGCCTTGGGCGCAGCCACGCCTCCTGCCCTAGCCTGCGCCCCACCCCACCGGGGCGCGCGACTGCGGCGCGTGGAACCCAGATCCCTCCGCCTACGGGACAGAGCGCGGCCGCGGGACCTCAGCACCCCGGCCCAGAGTTGGCAGAGGTCTAAGTAGATAAGTTTTGGGGAGACGAGAGTGTTGGGAGGCCCCAGCTCCTCCACTTACTGTGTGACAAAGCTCCGAAGGCAGATCGCGTTCTCTCCTCGGGGTTACCTGGGGAGCTCCGCTGCTCCCTCTACCTGTGACAGGTCCCCTCCTTTCCCCTGGCTCTGCTCGGTTGACGCCCAGACATTTAAAGCAACAGTGCATAATTCTCGGGTGACCTAATGTTCGGTGCCTGCGGCCCCAGCGCTTTTAACTATCAAGGGGGCAATTTAAAGGGGCGGGACCCCAACCACCACCACCTCACCGGAAACATCAGAAGCCTCGTCGTAGAGAAGAAACAGTAACTCTTTTTAAAAGAAAAAAAAATTTAAATCCCTTGTGGCCTCTGGGCGTGGCGAATTTTTAAATGCTCACAATATTGTGTATACCATTGCTTCTCAACACGGACCCTTCAGACTTTCTGTCCAGCATCCTGTCACTTCCAAGGCCTCCGCTGGCTCTACCTGGAGCTTGAACTTCTAAACCAAGCCTGGCAGTAGAGAAGCACAAGGCTCTTGACAAGCTAGAGTCTGGTTTTCTGGACAAAGTCTCTGTTCTGGGTTTTTGGGACTGGGAGAGGCAACAAGTGGTGGGGTAGAAGCATCAACTTGGGTCAGATGTCTAATTCAAATCTTTTCACTGTTTATGAAGAGCAGAGCACATTTCTTAACTCTCCATCCTCTTGGTTAAGATGAAGGCTGTGAGGACAGTACCTAACTTGTGAATCCGGTGTGAGTTTAGTTCCCAGGAGACTAGCACAGTGCCTCATGTTGCATTGTAATGACCCATGGGCCGCTCAAATGAAAAAAAGAAAGAAAGAAAAACCTTTTAGGCCAGGGTGAGTTCAGACAAGGCTCAAGGGGACAAGTTCAATAGGACCATTCTTCAGAGAGCTTGGAGACTTGTATGTACCTCCTTAAACAGGAAACTAGCAGACTTCTTGTCCTCCCCTTTCAATCCTACTTGGCCCCTCCTTTCAGAAGCCCGATTTACACAGTATCACACATGGTCCCCAAATGTTGTTCTTTAGTTTCCCTGGTAGTATGGGGTGGGGGCTCCCAGCACAGAGATGCCAGTACTCCTGAGCAGGCTAGTTTGCCCCAACACTTCAGGGAGGGCATCTGTCCTTCCCCAAGCACTTGGAGAATACAGCCTTGTTCTGGTTTGAAGCTGTGGTAGGAGCAGGATGAGAAAGTGCCCTCCCAATGGGGAGCCTCCCCTCACTCAGGCCTCTATTTTTAGTGCTTCCCCAGGCTCTAGCAGGAGAAATCCTTTAGTCATCAGGGTGTTTATTTTCCGGCTGCTTCCGACGTCGGGAAAAGCAGAATGTTGAGACTGGAGAGATCCAGGGCTGCTGTAAAAGACTTCTCAGGAACGGGCCTGAGAACACAGCCTTCAGACCACTGGGTCCCAGCTCACGGGAAAACAAAACAGGATGGGCCCGGGACAGCTAAGCCCTCAGGAGTTTCCAACCTGCCTTAACCTTGGAGGCTATCCAAGCTTAGAGAGCCCTCTGGCCCAGCTCTATTTGAAGACTGTTTCTCAAAACAACAACTGTCCAGAAGAAATTCTTTCCTAGAATCCCCCTCCCCACCCTCTCCTAGGTCTGGCTGGTGAGCCTCCCGCCAACCACAACCCTAGCCAATCTCAAACCTGAGGCGGGCCTTCCAGAGCTAGGATTGGTTGGCTGGGCCTCCTAGACCTGGAATGTTGAGTCTTTAACAAAGGAATGAGGAAGGAAGGTGAGTCACCTGGGGAAGACTTTAAAGGACTAGCTAGGAGGAAAAGGAAGAGGGAAGCGCTCCAGGGAGGTGGGGGCCCTGGACGCTGACGGCTGACTGGACAGATCACATGAGACCTGAGTAGGGGGCAGTAACACAAGGGGGAGAAAATTCAGAGTCTGAAAACGTCTTGGAAGAGAAGAGAAAAGGTAACTATCGTGAGGTCTTGATTTCCACAGAGGACTGAAAAGGGCCAAGGTAATGTTGGATGGAGGTTGGATGAAAACTGGATTTCTTGAAAGTGACTCTGAATTCTTTTCTTCTGGCCCCTGGACTTCCCATCCCAGAATCCTCTGGGTGGCAAATGACTGTCTCACGTTTCCTCTCCCATCTCTGACTGTGCACCTATCTCTTATGAATTAATTTGTTGTTTGTTAGCGTGCCATAGTGCATGCTTAGAGGTCAGGGGACAATTCTGTGAAGTTAATCTCTCCTTCCAACTTTCCATGAGTTTTGGGCTGAAACTCAAGTTTGCCAGGCTTGGTTGGCAATCGCTTTACTGGCCAAGCCATCTCGCCGGCTTCTACCCATCTGTTCTAAAGAAAAGTCACCTTCCAGCCCAAAGCTACTGTAAAATCCCCCCCCCCCCCGTGGGCCCTTGGGGCACTTAGATGCCCACAAGTCCTGAAAATAATACCGTGTAAACTCACCTGCTGTGCTGTCTTCCCAAGGCTCTTTGGCAAACAAAACTTAACCCTCCTTTATCCGCTCCTTCTCAGGCTTCTCCAATACACCTGTGCTTGGTGTCTTTTCCCGCAGGTCCCCATCTCTCTCAACACCCCTCTTCCACCTGGCAGTCCTTCCTCAACCTAGGGAAAGTGCTCTTGCCTCCCCTTCTAGTCTGATGAGCGGCTTGCCAGGCCCTCCTCTCACCTTCCTTCCCCTGCGCCATCTGGGTAGCTCTCAATCCCCACCTCCACACGCAGCGCAGCCACCGAACTCATCCTTCTTCCTCCAGTTTTTGAGTGATTCCAGCAAAGAGCCCCCTACCCAACCTCTCCCCGCATCTGTCACCAAGCTTGCAAACCGGACCCTCAGCAGGTGGGCGTATATATTCTCTGCGCGACGCTGGGACTCTGCACTCTGTGCCTGTCTCCTCAGGACGCGCTAGCTTGCTGGTTTGGGTTTCTAAGGTACTTTTCCTTACCAGCTCCTGAGTTCCTGCAGGAATGCAGAGCTTTGCAGAGCTGGCGTGGAGCGCGCTTAGCAAATGTATACAATACACAGCTGTGTGAGTTAGGATTGTGCAAACTCTACTGATCACCTCATTTCTGCATTGATAATAGTGGTAGCCAAACACAGGGTCCAGTCTGGGGTCCTACGACTCCACTTCGGGGCAGAGTTGGGGTGAGGAATAGATACCCGAATCCGCCGGAGTCAAGCCCGTGTGGCACAGTAGCGCCCTACGCTGCCAGGGACCAGACTTGGGGACACGAGCAGAAGCCCCTGGAGCTGAGAGGGAGAGGTGCCAGAGCGGGTCCCAGGTCCGTGTACCCCCACAGGAGCTCCCTGCCCCCCCCCCCCGCCGGCTGGGCAGGATGTGGTGGCAGCTGCAGTTGGGTGGGCAGGATGTGGGGGTGGGGGCAGACGAACGCAGCCCGACAGCAGTTTCCCCCCACCCCACCTCCTGCCTCCACCCCCTCCGGGTCACGTGCTCTCAGCTTGGGCACCGAGGGACTAGTTCCCATTTTTCGCGGAAGGACATCTCAAACCCATCGCCATGGACTTAAGTTGTATCACGCCGTTTTCTGGACCCCCCTCTCCAGCCTAGAACAGAAAGTTTGCCCAGTACACATTTCTGGAAAGCGTGGATTAACTCGGAAGAGGCCCCTTTAAATGCAAATGGTCTCCCTCTTGCTCTGCTCCCCCTCCTCCCCAACCCCCATCCCAACTTCTCTCCTCGTGCCCAAACTCCACCAGCTGCTATTGACGTCAATCGTGCGTCAGCATCTCCAGCCCAACCAGACAGCACGTGGGGGAAAGAAGGCAATCTTAAAGGGCCAGTCGCTCAGGGCCTTTTAGGTTACCGGAGATGGAAAAGCTAAGTGGAATGTTGGAAACTGTTGGAGCGGGAAGAAATGCAGGGGAGACTTTCAGACTTTCAGAAGGACTGCTTAAGGCCGGCGAAGTGGCTCAGCGGATCCGGGTACTTCTTTCTGTGCAAGCCTGAGAATCACCTCCCCAAAGTTATCCTCTGACCTTCACAGCATTTTCTCCCCCGCACACATAATGTAATGTATTAATAAATTTTTTTGTTGTTTTTTTGTTTGTTTGTTTGTTTTTGAGACAGATTTTTTTTTTGTAGCTTTGGAGCCTGTCCTGGAACTAACTCTTGTAGACTAGGCTTACCTCGAACTCACAGAGATCTGCCTACCTCTACCTCCCGAGTACTGCCACCACTGCCCAGCTAATAAATATTTTTTAAAAAGACTTCTCAGAGTAGGAGAGTATATTCTCTTTTTCTGTTTTCCTCTTTTTTAAATTTTACTTCCTATTGTGTGTGTGGTATGCACCAGTGTGGAGGTCAGAGGACAACTCGCAACAGTTGGTTCTTCTACCTTGTGGTTCCTGGAATTCAGTGCTTTGGGACCCCAAGCTGAGCCCACTTTAATTCTCCCTCCCCTCCTCTCCTACCCCTTAGGACTTGAACCTAGGGGTCCCACACATTCTGCTGTTGAGCTACATGCCCCAGCTCAAGAAAGTGAACCCTAAAGCAAGCTTTTTCTTTAGATTCCCCCCAGAGGTTTGGGTTTGTTTATCTGGGAAAGAAACCCAGGAGCTGCAGAGGCAGGCTGAGTCTAAAGGCAAATGAGGCTTGGCTTTTAAGAACCCTGAGTTGCCAGACAGATCTATGAGTTCAAAGCCGCCCTGTTTTACAGAGCAAGTTCCAAGACAGCCAAGGCTACAGACAGAAACCCTGTCTTGAAATACTAGAAAGAGAAAGAGAGGAAAGAAAACGAACAAAACAAAACAAAAGCAAACCAAAGGAAACCCCCAGAAGCCTGAGTTCTAGTTGGGTGGAAGCACTGGGGGTGATGATCTCTGTGAGCTCCAGTTTAGTCTACTGACAGAGCCACGCAGTGCAACCCTGTCCAGTATGGGCCGGGATAAAACAAACAAACAACGACAGTCTTCTCCCTCACCCTGCTCAGTGTATCTGTGTATCTGTTCACAAAGTGCTATGCTCCATCTAAAGCAAAGAACTGAGTAGACACTCAGTTAAGTATTTGTAGAATGGGATAATTG